AACCTTCCTTCCGAGGAGTGGCTGGTGGGTTTGAACCGCCAGCCTTCTGGTGAGCAGTCAAGTGCTTTAGCCACTATGCTACCAGAGCTCCTTGAAGCTGCTTTAGTTGCTGACAAATGTGGGAAGAGGGAGCTGAGAACTTACAGCTGGCATTTCTAAGAAACGCAGGTCACACATCAGAGGGGGTGGGAGGTTGGTAAGTAGAAGGAGAAGAGGTAGGAGGTGAGAGGGAGAAGCAAGGAGAGATCAGCTTGGAGGGGAAATACGTGCAGGAGGTAAGTTATATATTATGATTCCATTTTACAAATAGGAAAACTGAGGCTTGGAAAAGTCAAGTGACTTGCCTGTTGCCTGAGATCATACAGTGAGTTACCCTGTTTTTGCAACTCAGAATTCCTTTTGCTACCTTATACCAAGTCTACTGGGGGCTTCTCAAGTGTTAAGGACTGATCCTGACATGTCCATTATCATAGTGAAGCAGTTTGTACCTTCAGAGAGGTCCTGGGTCCAGGGATTGGGTGCAAGAGCAGAGAGGATAAGTGGAGGTGGAATTTGAGTCCCAGAACTTTAGGATCTTCCTGGGCTCTATCCTGGTAGTCAGGCCCTGGGCCTTTAGGAGAATGAAGGCCAGCTGAGTAAGGTCAAGGACCAGAGGGTGGGAACCTAGAGCTCAGATGAGACCCTTCTCTTTCAGATCATCCTCAACTCCATGCACAAGTACCAGCCACGGCTACACATCGTTAAAGCTGATGAGAACAATGCTTTTGGCTCCAAAAACACAGCCTTCTGCACCCACGTGTTCCCAGAGACCTCCTTTATCTCTGTGACCTCCTACCAGAACCACAAGGTACAGCCATAGATTCCACAGTCTCTACCACTAACATGGCCTGACATTTCTGCCTGCCCTACAGAGAGGCAGGAAGTAAAGGCCAAAACATAGTGAGACTAAAGCAGGCCCAGTGCAGAAACATACAGCATCCTTCAGAACAGTGAGCAAAGAAGGAACAGACTCATAAATATCCAGCCCAAAGAAATTATGGTCTATGTATTTTGGTCAGTGGACAAGTTGGCATGTGTGAAAACTGGAGTATGGAGCCTGCCCTGTGGTTTGAGTGTTAGACCCTTCGTGCTACAGTCTTCTTTCTCTTGGTGTATCCAAAGGTTGGATTCTGGGCCTGCTGAGAGGGGTAGGGAGGTGGGGAGGCTGCTCTGGAGCACTGTGCATTGTGTGGGAGCAGTAGGACTGAGTCTCTGGTGACCCTACCCAGGCTGTGGTCAGAGGTGCCTAGGATATCTCAGCCCACTTCCCACCCAATTCCTTGCCCCTGCCCAGCTCCAGCTTGACCATCCCAAACTACCTCCTGACCCCTGAGCAGACTGCTGTCTCCTGCCTCTCCACCTTTGCCCATGCTCCTCTTTCCCTGGGTACTTTTCACATTGTGTGCATTGGGGCCGGTGAGGTGGGCAGGGTAAGTTGGGGAAGGGTGATAGACTGTAGTACATTTTAACAGAAGAGCGACAGTCAGATTTGCATTTAGAACAGTCAGTTGGACCCTGATGTGGAAGTTGCACCAGCCAGGACACCATGGACAGGATGCTCATTGGGAAGGGGTTCCAGACATCCAGGAGAGAACAATGGAGGACTGAAGCCACGTGGGGCAGTGTGGGTGAAGAGCAGGAGAAAGAATTGATTTTCTGGAGCAAGTAGAATGGATAAGAGCCAGAGATGAGCCAGATGTGAATGGCAAGGCCCGGGAGGACCTCGTGTGACTCTAGGCTGGCTCAGAGCTGGGGCGTGGCTTCTCTGAATTAGAAGGTGTGCAGTGACCCTTCTCCACTGCTCCCTCTGGCGTCTTCTCATTCACCCTTCACTAAACCCTCCTCTCTGTCTTCTCTCTAAATCCCTCTTCTGAGTCATTGCCAGAGTAAGGAAGGTCTGACAGATGGCGGTGAGGAGTGGGGGCTTAAGGCAGTGAGAAAACCACCCTGGAAAGATAAGCAAGTTAGTGAATATTTGCTGTTCTCTTTTCCAAGGAACTGAAGAAGTCAAGCCCAGAGGTGAGATAGGGAGGAGCTTCTGAGGTCTAGACCCAAGGATCAACAGGGGTGCAACTTCACTATCCCTGCCATGAATTCTGAATGTGCCTGGGGTTGGGGAAGAGGGCCAGAGGCTAGTCCAGTTCTACTCTGCTGTCAGCAACTCTACTGTGTGCCCTCTCCTGACAGATTACACAGCTGAAAATTGAGAACAACCCCTTTGCCAAGGGATTCCGGGGCAGTGACGACAGTGACCTGCGTGTGGCCCGGCTGCAGAGGTGGGCCTGCCCCAGCCTGGAGGTGGGGCGGGCAGACTGGGTTCAGGCACATGGACTCAGTAACCCTCAAAGTGTCTTCACTCTCTTCTGTCTCTCTCACTGTCCTCTCCACCCCTTCAGCAAAGAATATCCTGTGATTTCCAAAAGTATCATGAGGCAGAGGCTTGTCTCCACCCAGCTCTCAGCCAAGCCCGATGTCAGCCCCCTGCATGGCGCCCATCAGGCCCTCCAGCACTACCAGTATGAAAATGGGGCTCACATGCAGTTTGCTGCAGCTGAGCCACAGGACCTTCCCCTCAACACCTTCCCAACACAGAGGGACTCAAGCCTCTTCTATCACTGCCTGAAAAGACGAGGTAGCTGTTTTCTGGTCTGGAAGCCCTATAGAATCAGAGGTGGGATGAAGCTTTCCCCACAAACACTCCCACTACACAAAGGAGCCTGTGTGGACATGCACACACACACACACACACACACACATCTGGTTACTTGTGTGGTTGTGTGGCCTGGGAAAATGAGCCTGAATGGTTAAGAGTCATAGGAAGGTTCAAGGCCATCTTTCCCAGTGCAGGGATGCTGGTTCTCTCCTTTAATGCAGCCTTCAAGTCCTCACAAACAGCTGTGGCCTTGGTGTACCCAAACACTGGCCCTCTTCCCCAGCACTAGATGTGGCTGCTTTGAGAGCCTCTGTGGGGTGACAGAAGACACACAAGTCAGCTGGGCCCTGCTTAGAAGTACAGGAGGAGGTTGAAGCTTCAGTCCAGAGGGTTTTGGATTGGGGCTGTCTTTTATCAAAGCAACCTCAACCAAGGGATGGCTTGGAGTCATGTGAACAGGGCTCTCCCCCATCACACCAGGATCTGCAAAGGCTTCTTGAGAATTGAAATGCACTATTATGGATATAGAGTGTGGGAGAGGAAGGCAGGCCACAGAACTGCCTATGCTAGGCCTTTGTATGAAGAGGGTCCTGAACTGGGAACCAGAACATTTTTTTTTTTAATTGTGATCTGGGTGAAGATTTACAGGGCAAATTTACTTTCCATACAGCAGTTCACATATACTTCGTCTCATGTCATTGACCACAGTTTACCACAATGCAACAGCTCCCCGCCCACTTCCTCCCCATAGTTACCTATTCCCAGTGTCCATCCCTCCATATACTCCTGCCCCCTGAGCTGTCTCCCTGTGCATAAGCAGCCCTTCTTTCTCCCATGATTGTTCTCTCCAAGGAGTGTATCTACTTGAGGTAAATGTTTAACTCATATGCCTGTATTTTGTTTGGCTGGAAACCACAGGTGTGGGTTCAATTCCAGACCTGAAGGGTAGCTAGGGGCCATAGTCTCAGTGGTTCCACCAGGCTCTATCAGACCAGCAAAGGAACCAGAACATTTGTGCTCCGGTGTCAGATCTCGATTTCTCAAACTATAGAACAGGGATGATTAGCGTTCCTCCACCAGAAGACCTCTCAAGGCCACTGTAATTCTCTTGGGAAGGAGTTTGGGAACTTTTGCTTACAATCTAGAATATTCTCTCAGCTCAGCACCTGGGGCCATCCAGGCAGAGCTCTGAGTAGCCCCTGTACAAGTTCCATTAGAATTCAATGCCCTTGACTGCTAACCAGAAGGCTGGTGGTTCAAACCCACCAGCCACTCCTCGGAAGGAAGGTTGGGCAATCCTACTTCCGTAGTGATACTGCCTCGGAAACCCAAGGAGGGGTCGCTATGAGTCGGGGCCGACTCGACGGCACATAACAACAACAACAACACAGCAGAGACTGGCAAACTATGGCCCTTGGACCAAATCCAACTTGCTGCCTGTTTTTTCATAGCCCATAAGCTACGAGGTTTTTTTATATTTTCACATTTTTAAATGGTTTTAAAAAATCAAAAGAAGAATATTTTGTGACATTTGAACAACATGTTAAAATTTTAGTATCCATAAATAAAGTTTTATTGGAACATAGCCATAGTCATTTGTTTATATATTGTCTATGGCCACTTTATGTGACAACAGCAGAGGTGAGTAGTTGTGACAGAAACTGTGTGGCCCAAAAAAGCCTAAAATATTTACTATCTGGCCCTTTACAAAAAAATTTGGATGACTCCAGACCTAGCATGACTGGGCCACCTGCCAAGTCCAAGAACTTAGTGCAGAGGGAAGGGAGGAATTTGGAGAGAAGAGGGAAAGGAAGGCTGAGTGAGGGATATATGAGTGTTAGGTAAGGTAGAGGGAGGATGGTTCCAGAGGGGTGCAGAGGGGACAGGTGAGTGCAGGCCTTCTTCAAACTCCATCTCCCTCCTACCCTAGGCCACCTGTCCTTTTTACACACACAGCTCCCAGAATAAATCCCCACAGAAAACAGAAGGAGGGAGGCCAAGATAAGCTACTGGACAAGTGTTTATAAATCTGTTGAGTGGGCTGCTGCCCAAGCCCTCAGCCTTGGGCCATCCCAGGAGAGGACATGTCACTCCTGTTCATAAAACTTCATAGTTGAGGATGTGAAAGACACATACATGATCTGAGGCAGCTATTGTCATCTTTCCCCAGAGTATCAGGTTAGCTTTAAAAGTACAGGTCACCCTTTTCACTTATTATCAGTTGCGTTTCTTAATTTTGTAGCCTATGTTGTATCAAGGAGCTCTGGTAGCGTAGTGCCTAAATTTAGGCACTTGACCACTAACCAGAAAGCTGGAGGTTCAAACCCACCAGCCACTCCTCGGAAGGAAGATGGGGCAATCTACTTCCGTAGTGATACTGCCTTGGAAACCCAAGGAGGGGTCGCTATGAGTCAGGTCTGACTCAACAGCACATAACAACAACAACATGTTGTATCAGAATCTGTTTTAACAATCTAATATGTTTTCTTTGAATATATTTAGAGTTCTCTTCCTATTTTCTTCTTCCAAAAGCAATAGGAACATGCCTTGGAGTAGCTTTGGCTTGCCAAGGCTGAGGATTGAGGCAGAAACATTGTGGCCTTAATTTTCTGGCTAATTCAGACAGATGTGGCCTCTGGGCTGGGTTTGGCCTGGTTATCGCTTCCACTTTTCTTGGCCAGGGTAGACCTAACCTGAGAATGCCAGTGCACATTAGGCCTCTTATCATCTCCAAAAGCCAGGCTGGCAAAGGATCAAACTGAATGTTGCCTGACTAAACACATAACTCAGTGTCCAGCAATGTAGTGTCCCCTGTGGCCTTTGAGCAGGGACCATAATGTAATTACTTCTTGGCTGATGCCACCTTTTAAAAGCTGTAGCCAATGAAAATGGTTCTGGGAGTGCTGTGGCAATGGGGCAAGGGTGGACCCTGCATGACAAGGGTAGGCTGTCCTAGCATCCAGCAGGGGTGCTCTGGGACCTGGGCTGGTGGCAATGACTCTTCCTGAGGTTTCTTTGTCTTCCAGCAGACAGTGCTCGCCACCTGGACTTACCCTGCAAGAGATCCTATCTGGAAGCTCCTTCTTCAGTAGGGGAGGATCACTATTTCCGCTCTCCCCCTCCTTATGACCAACAGATGCTGAGTCCCTCCTACTGCAGTGAGGTGACCCCAAGAGAAGCCTGTATGTACTCAGGTTCAGGGCCTGAGATTGCTGGGGTGTCAGGGGTGGATGACTTGCCCCCACCCCCACTGAGCTGTAACATGTGGACTTCAGTCTCACCGTACACCAACTACAGTGTTCAGACCATGGAGACTGTGCCTTACCAGCCCTTCCCCACGCACTTCACTGCTACCACTATGATGCCTCGGCTACCTACCATCTCTGCTCAGAGCTCCCAGCCACCAGGAAACACCCACTTCAGTGTCTACAATCAGCTCTCACAATCTCAGGTCCGGGAACGGGGGCCCACCACCTCATTTCCAAGAGAGCGAGGCCTCCCTTCAGTGTGTGAGAGGAAACCGCCCTCTCCACACCTGAATGCTGCCAATGAATTTCTCTATTCCCAAAGCTTTTCCTTGTCCCGGGAATCTTCCTTACAGTATCATTCAGGAATGGGGACTGTAGAAAACTGGACTGATGGATGACTCTTACGTCTCTTAGACAGACTGAGGACCATGTTAATCCATTATTAACCTCTGTGGGTGGCCTGCACTACCAAGAAACCCTCACAGAAAGGTATTTCCCAAGGTGTGTGTGTGTGTGTGTGGTATGTGTATGTGTATGTGTGTGTGTATGCATGTGCATATATTTGGAGCACATCTATCTTCTGACATACAACTGAGGCCTTGACAAGAAGAAAAAAACAATGATCTAAGCAGTGATTTTGGCTGCAGGACCTGAGTCCACTGTTGTCTGACATCTCTAACATGCCCATGGGTGCGATAGAAGTGGAGGGTTCATATGAGTTACTTAATGATTTTTATAATACAATCTTTAATTCACTCAGGGGCCAGGTGGTGAGGCCACTTCCACAGGAAAAGCTGGGGAAGATTCTCACTGCTAGGGTAGGAAGAATTTTATGTACATCTAGAGTTCTGTTTGCAAGAGGAGCTGAGAATCTTGTTTTGGGAGCAGGATGCCCACTGCCGTGGCTTCTGGAGATTCCATGAGACTAGCTGAGAGGTGGGCTTAGCCAACCCTGACAAAAGCCAAGCCTGAGAATAGAGCTGACTGCTCAGCTAGTGGCCTGGAAATTGATCCCTGGAGCCCTGTGGTCTAAGGGATGACTTTCAGAAAGGATCATGTGCTAAGTGCCAACTAATGAATATTTTTAAAGTTTTAAAATTTCTTTCCTTTCCCTCCAGAGCAGGGAAAATGCAACCAATAGCATTTCTGTCATTATTCAGGGTTTGTCATAAAGTACAAAGCACCTCCCCCTGTCCAGTCCCTGACAAACAGTCTCTCACTCTGTTGTGCAAGACTCAGCTTCTTGGGCACCATTTGCATCCTATGACTGGTAATTATAAAACACACCTCACCTGGCAACGCCCCAGGAGACTACATTGGAGCTGCTGCCAGGCATCTCCAGAGCCTGAACTGCTCCCAGAAAATCCATGCCTCCAGAACAAGAAAATGCAACAGAAATAATGAGACTTGAGAAAATATACATTTCTTCCAGAAAACTCAGCCAGTGAGCCCAGAGGAGCAAAGATAGTTCTCCCAGTGAGGCAGATTTGAAGTCTTCAGCCCAAATCTTTAGCATTGAACGTCACCAGACCATTTGTGTGGCTGGTGTGAACTCTGTAATAAAATCCGGGAAATCACTAAACTCTTTGCATGCTGAATAGCTATTTATATATTATATTAATAAATAAATAAATAAATATATATATATATATCACAAATACAGGCCACATGTCAAATTCAGCTTTGCTTCTTATAAATGAATAAATAAAAATGAACATTGCAGGAGTATTTGGAAACACATCTATTTAAAGTTTTACTACACATTTTGATGTTAAAAACTAAAAATGGTTAGATAAAGCATATATATATATATATATATATATATATATATATGTATGTATGTGTGTGTGAGAGAGTGCATATGCACATACATACACTACAGATAAAGCTTTATTAGAAAACACATTAGCTACAGGTGATTTGAAACTTCAAGTGTTTTGTTATATAGCATGGACATTTTATTTTACATATCAGAACATAAAGCCTTTTACAACTGTGAAGTGTGTGGATGCTTTTTACTACTGACTTGTCATTTCTTGGCTCAGCAGTGATCTCTGACTCCTCTTTTATTTGTATTTTTGTTGTTGTTGTTGTTAAGGGCCAGGTGAGGCCCTCAGTGCTTCTGAGCATTTGTACCACGGGCTCAGAGAGAAGTAATTTAGAATCAATGAAGCACTTGTACCATCAATCTCACACTACTTCATGGATTATGGGTCTGGATGTTAGGGCTCACAAAGACCCCAGAAAGACTGGGCAGGCAGTAAGCAAGAACCTGTCATCTTCTGGCCATTAACTCACACCATGGCAATTTAGTAGCACTGTGGTTAAGCATTTAGCTGCTAACCTAAAGGTCAGTGGTTCAAACCCAGCAGCAGGAGAAAGGTGTGGTAATCTACTTCCATAAAGATTTACAGACCTGGAAATCTCTGGGGGAGTTCCGCCCTGTCCTATAGGGTGAGATGGAAACAAGGACAGTGAGTTTTGCTTTGTTTTTGTTTTTTGCACGAGAGTCTCACAATATGGGATTCTTGCTGAGATTTGTGCTGCTGCTTAAAAAGGAACTGAAGGGCAAGTTGGAGTCAGAGCCTACAGCTGTCTGCAGCAGCTGCCTTTATCTCAGAGAGGTTGAGTCAAGGCCTGTCAGAACCCTCCACTTGCCCAATCCCCTGCCAGGTCCCAAAAGCATGGCTTCAAGATGGACAGAAAAAAGAAATGAAATCTAGTCCAAGTTCTAGCTCATCTCAGTGGAGCAGAAGGGAAGAAGGTATAGGAACCCCTTGCTTCTGGCCCCCTCCCTTCATGGTTCTTTCCCCACATCTGCTCACCCTCATCCACCATCTCCACAGCAGGCTGATCTGGGAACCCAGGAGAAGAGAAGGCAAAGGCAAAGGGTGCCCTATAAATCTTCATCTGGACTGAAATGAAGTTTCCTGCTGGGTAAAAGGTTTCCTGTTCCCCATGAGTCCTCCCCATGCCAGGAGGCCAAACTCCGTCCTCTTTTAGCTGTTGGCTCCACTTCGGGTTTGTTGGACACAAAGAAAAACCTACCTGAGGTTAGCTCAGGGGTGGGAAAGGGGAGAGGGCACTTTTCCTAATTCACGTCTCCTCTACTCTTGTCTCTCTGAGCAAAGACTGCATTCTGGGATCCTCCACTCTAGAAGGATCTTCTAGAGCCCCAGGCAGTGGTCTAGGGGCTAGATGTCTGTCCAGATCCCTCCGTAGACACACAGTCGCCTGACTCTGAGGTAGAGAAAGTCACTTCTTTGAGAAGCACTCTGCTTATAGGCAACCCACAGCTTCCTAGCAGCCTTCTGGGAAGCACAGGTCCCTGGGCTTCCTCACCTGTGCATGGCTAGATCAGGGCCTGGAGTGGGATTTGTGGAACTTTCCTGCCCTTTTGAATCAACAACTCAATAAAAGGGGGCACATGGGATATCCTGGAACAAAGGGTACCATTCAGTAGCACCAGCAGGTCATACATCATCAGGCCAGAAAACTGCCACATGAAAAGTGTCTGCTTCTGCTGTGTCCTGCCTGGGAAAGGGGAAAAAACGATTAACATTCAGCTTCAGGGCCCTGGGCAGGCAGCTCTGGGGGCTCTGCTCTTCAGCCTAGGGCCAGACTACTGTGGGGATGCCTAGGTAGGCCTCTCAGCAGCACCCAACCGCCTTCCTACAACAGAGGATTCTGGAATAATAAAAGGGAGAATGAACCAAGAAGCTGGGTCAGACTGACAAATTGTTAAAAAACCAAACCAACTTCCAGCCTGGGCTGGGCCTCAGGGGGTCAAGAGGCCCTGGCTTGCCCCACTAATGGAGCCTGCTGGAGGAGTAGCAGCCCCAGCTTTGCAGTGTCTTATCTTACAACATAAAATTAAAACCCACTTAAAAGGCCGGAGGGCATGTTAACATTCACCCTGCTGTCTAATTGAAGTAGTTCCCAGTGCAAAGGATTTCACTTGAAAGATGTCTCCCTCAGAGCCCTACTTCTCTTGCTTGGCTGGCAGGGGGAAGAGGGAGAGGGAGAGACTCTTTTCATTTCAAAGACCAGCATAAGCTCAATCCGGAAAAGCACTGTTTCTATTTGCTGCCCCCACCCAGTTGGCAGGTGCCGACAGCAAAGGTTATAACAGGCTGAGTTGTTTTGTATTTTTTAAAAATTTACAAATTCATTAGCAGCAATGTCAGCAGAGGCCAGACTCCTGACAAGAAGCCTTAGTAATGATTCAAATATGGCGAGCCCCTCAGTGAAACCTGGCAGTTCCTGCGGGCAAGAGATTTCTATTCCGTCCTCCAACCGCCTCCCTCCATGCAAATATATTACAGGTCTCCAAGGCATAAGGAATCAATCAGGGACATCCTGTAAAGGTGATGAACTTGCACTGGCCATCCTGAATAATGGGAACCAGTCAGCCTGAAGTCGGCCGGGACTGAAAGCCAAGGTGACAGCTATTAAGCAATCGTGCTCAGAACAAAATGGCAAAGGGGCTAGGTAATCAATTCAATTTCAATGGGCAACCCAAGCAACTGCAGCGTCTGTCGAAGGTGATTAGGGAGGGCCTGGCCGGAGCTTTCAGTATGAGCCCATCACAGATCAGAAACAGGCCCGGGATGAAAAGGGAAAGAGCTGTCTCCTGAGAAGCAGGCGATGAAGGACTCTGTTTTATGTGACTGTGTTCTTCCCTCTCTCCTTGAAGAAAGAGTAAAAAAAAAGCAAGCAGTTTGGAGATTAGATAGTTTTCTTTTCAGCCATTTATCATTATGAAGGAAAGTAGACAGGGCAGGGGCAGAAAAATCTCCAGTGGGATTTCTGTGAAGTCTCACTAAGAAGGACCAGGTTTACACTTTGCAGCTCAAACAGCCCCTGCTTATTACCATGATGGGGTCTGCAGAGCATCCAAGGTCCCCCTTTTCTAACAAGGGCAAACAGGCCCCCCTGCTCTGAGGATCATAGAAATTCTCCTATAGAAACCCCAAACCATGACATTGTATCATTTGTGAAAATTAAGGCCCAAGTCAAATGGGGAGAGGAGGGAAATGAAAAGATGAAACAGGGTTGTGCATTGTCCTGGCTGCTTGGCCTCAACTGTGAGGCCCCTACTCTTACCTGGGCACAGGTCATGGCAGGAAGGGCCCCTGCTGTGTCTGCTCCTTTATCAGCATCCACCCAAGTCAGAAGACAGATCGCTGAAGCCTGCTTGAAAATTCTAGACTCTTTTTTTTTTTTTTTGAGGAGGGGCAGAGCACCAGGCCCCCACATGCACAGAAGCAGTGAGAGACCAGGCAGCATAGGAGGCAGAACCAGGAGGGCAAGGGTTGTCTTGAAGTCAAGGTAGGGCAGGAGGGCTCAGGGCTGGGGCAGGGGTCTGGTGATTAGGGAGGAAGGGCTGACTTGGAAAACTAGAGCAATGGATGCATGTGAACAGATAATGCTTAAAAGAAGAATTTCAAATGGATAATTAACCTGAATAAAACTAACATTACTAATAATCTAAAATGCAAATCAAAATGATAAAAATGCTATTTTTGTCTAAAAAATTAGTAAACATTTAAGAAAAGATGTGAAGTGTGTCTCTCAGTCATTACTGGTGGGAGCACAGATTGCTATAATCTTTCTGGAAAAAAGCATTTTGGTAGTTTGGCCAAAAACTCTAATAGTGTTCATATCCTAAAGAAAATACTCAGAAATGTGGACATAGCTTAAAGTTCTATAATGTTCATTGTGGTATTATTTTTAAATTTGGCAGAGTAAATTATGATATACCTGTATTCTGGAATATGATGCAGTCATTAAGTTATGTTTATAAAGAATGTGTAATGACATGGAGAATG